GGATGAGTCTTCATGGCCTGCAGAGCTAAGTTAGGCAGTATGAGGTAGAGGATGTGAGGTGGGTGGTGTGAGATGGTGTGAGGTGCATGGTGTGTGGTTGATGAGGTGAGGTGGATGAGGTGAGCTAGATGGTGTGAGGTGGATGGTGTGAGCTGGATGAGTGGTGGGAGGTGGATGGTGGGAGGTGGGAGGTGGATGGTGTGAGGTGGGTGGTGTGAGGTGGGTGGTGTGAGGTGGATGGTGTGACGTGGATGAGGTGAGGAGGATGGTGTGAGGCACCTGTTGTGAGGTGCATGGTGTGAAGTGGATGAGGTGAGGTGGATGGTGAGTTCCATGAGGTGAGATGGATGGTGTGAGGTAGATGGGTGAGCTAGATGGTGTGAGGTAGATCAGTTCAGGTGGATGGTATGAGGTGGATGAGGTGAGGTGGATGAGGTGAGGTGGATGGTGTGAGGTGGATGGTGTGAGATGGGTGGTGTGAGGTGCATGTTGTGAGGTAGATGAGGTGAGGTGGAAGGTGTGAGGTGGATTGTGAGGTGGATGGTGTGAGGTGGATGGGTGAGCTAGGTGGTGTGAGGTGGATGGTGAGATGGATGGTGTGAGGTGCATAGTGTGAGGTGGGTGGTGTGAGGTGCATGTTGTGAGGTAGATGAGGTGAGGTGGATGGTGTGAGGTGGATGGTGTGAGTTCCATCAGGTGAGGTGGATGGTGTGAGGTGGATGGTGTGAGTTCCATCAGGTGAGGTGCCTGGTGTGAGATGTATGGTGCAAAGTGCATGGTGTGAGGTGGATGGAGTGAGGTTGAGTTGAGGTGGAGGGTGTGAGGTGGATGAAGTGAGGTGGATGGTGTGAGTTGCATGAGGTGAGGTGGATGGTGTGAGGTGGGTAGTGTGAGGTGGATGGTGTGAGTTGGATGGTGTGAGTTCCATGAGGTGAGGTGCCTGCTGTGAGGTGCAAGGTCTGAGGTGCGTGGTGTGAGGTGGATGGTGTGAGGTAGATGGTGTGAGCTGCATGGTGTGAGGTGCTTGGTGTGAGGTGTGTGGTGTTAGGTGCATCGTGTAAGGTTGATGAGTCGAGGTGGGTGGTGTGAGGTCGATGAGGTGAGGTCAATGAGGTGAGGTGGATGGTGTGAGGTGGGTGGTGTGAGGTGGATGGTGTGAGGTGGATGGTGTGTGGTGGTTGGTGTGAGGTGGATGGTGTGAGGTGGGTGGTGTGAGGTGGATGGTGTGAGGTGGATGGGAGTTGGATGGTGTGTGGTGGATGAGGGGAAGTAGATAGTGTGAGGTGGATGAAGTGAGGTGGATGAGGTAAGGTGGATAAGTTGAGGTGGGTGGTGTGAGGTGGGTGGTGTGAGGTGGATGGTGTGAGGTGGGTGGTGTGAGGTGGATGGTGTGAGGTGGATGAGTTCAGGTGGATGGTGTGAGGTAGATGCATGAGATGGATGCTGTGAGGTGAATGTGTGAGGTGGATGGTGTGAGGTGGATGGTGTGAGGTGGATGATGTGACATGGATGAGATAAGGATTGTGTGAGGTGTCTGTTGTGAGATGGATGGTGTGAGGTGGATGAAGTGAGGTTGATGAAGTGATGTGGATGAGTTGAATTGGTAGGTGTGAATTGGATGGTGTGAGCTGGATGAGGTAAGGTGGATGGTGTGAGCTGGATGAGGTGAGGTGGGTGGTGTGAGGTGGGTGGTGTGAGGTGGGTGGTGTGAGGTGGGTGATGTGAGGTAGGTGGTGGGAGGTGGATGATGTGAGGTGGGTGGTATGAGGTAGGTGGTGTGAGGTGGGTGGTATGAGGTAGGTGGTGTGAGGTGGGTGGTGTGAGTTACGTGGTGTGAGGTGGGTGGTGTGAGGTGCATGGTGTGAGGTGGGTGGTGTGAGGTACATAGTGTGAGGTGCATGGTGTGAGGTGGGTGGTGTGAGGTGGGTGGTGTGAGGTGGATAGTGTGAAGTGGGTGGTGTGAGGTGGGTGGTGTGAGGTGGGGGTGTGAGGTGGGTGGTGTGAGGTGGGTGGTGTGAAGTGGGTGTTGTGAAGTGGGTGGTGTGAGGTGGGTGTTGTGAAGTGGGTGGTGTGAGGTGCGTGGTTTGATATGCATGGTATGTGGTGTGAGGTGGGTGGTGTGAAGTGTGTGGTGTGAATTGGGTGGTGGAGGTGTGTGGTGTGAGGTGCGTGGTGTGAGATGCATGGTATGTGGTGTGAAGTGGGTGGTGTGAAATGGGTGGTGTGAGTTGGGTGGTGTGAGGTGGGTGGTGTGGTGTGAGGTGCGTGGTGTGAGATGTGTGGTGTGAGGTGCATGGTATGTGGTGTGAGGTGTGGCGTGAGGTGGGTGGTGTGAAGTGTGTGGTGTGAAGTGGGTGGTGTGAAGTGGGTGGTGTTAAGTGTGTGGTGTGAAGTGGGTGGTGGAGGTGCGTGTTGTGAGGTGCGTGGTGTGAGGTGCGTGGTGTGAAGTGGGTGTTGTGAGGTGGGTGGTGTGAGGTGCGTGGTGTGAAGTGGGTGGTGTGAAGTGGGTGGTGTGAAGTGGGTGGTGTGAGGTGGGTGGTGTGAAGTGTGTGGTGTGAGGTGGGTGGTGTGAAGTGGGTGGTGTGAGGTGGGTGGTGTGAGGTGCGCGGTGTGAGGTGCGTGGTGTGAGGTGCGTGGTATGTGGTGTGAGGTGTGGTGTGAGGAGTGTTGTGAGGTGGGTGGTGTGAAGTGGGTGGTGTGAAGTGGGTGGTGTGATGTGGGTCGTTTGAGGTGCGTGGTGTGAGGTGTGGTGTGAAGTGTGTGGTGTGAAGTGGGTGGTGTGATGTGGGTCGTGTGAGCTGCGTGGTGGGTGGTGTGAAGTGGGTTGTGTGAGGTGTGTGGTGTGAGGTGCGTGGTATGTCGTGTGGGGTGGAGACTTCCTGTGTGGCCTTTGCTCCTTTCTAAGCCACTGCTCAGGTCTTCACACCCACACAGCTCCCGTTGTTTTGTGGTTGGGTCACAGCTGCCCTGAGCTCTGTGTGGCCCATTAGGGAGGTACAGGGTGGGTCAGACAGTGTGACTCCACCCTCCCCTCCCTGGGGTCTGTGGCGTGGACGTCTAATATGGCACAGTGTAACTTCCCATCTTAGTCTGGATGGGAACGCCAGGAGATGGCCTGGCGGCTCGTGGCCCATGGGCTGAGCTGGTGGTCACTGCCAGTGGAGCCCAGCGGGGCCCCATGTCCCCTTCATGCCCGGGCATGTCCTTTGCTGCAGGATCTTCACGTGCATTTGGCCATGCACGCCGAGGGGCCGGCTCTCCAGCAGACCCTGTCCCTGGCACCACCCGCGTTTCTGTCCTTGACAATATTTTTGTGAGACAGTTATTTTTATCAAACCAGTTATGAAAATCATCCCTGTTGCTCGTGAAGGAAACGCTTTTGCTCAAGATAGAAGATCAGGTTGTCTGGGCTTCCGTGTTCTACTGAGTAGTTCACAGTCAGTGGGGAGCGTGTCAGACTTCTGCCACGCCAGACAGGACGTTAGCTCCACGCCATTCCGTGCTGGTGGTGTTGGCTCATTGTGGTATCGCTTTAAGGGAGATATTGTAAGAAGTCAGCAATGGGAGCTGTGTCACGTGACCCTCCTCTCTGTGCTCCTCATCTCTGGTTCTGATTGGACATGCAGATGCTGTGGTCGGCGTCCCAGTGAACGTTTTGTTTTCCATAAAGAAGTGTCAGCACAGATTTTATGTCTGTCCCCACGGCAGCTCACGTGAGCCTTCCCCAGAAGCTCAGATGCAAGCCCAAGGAGAACGTGGCTCACTGCAAGAGAGGGTCGGGGTGAGGCCTGGGGCCGGGGCGTCTGACAGGGATTCCCAGGTGAACCCGGAAGATCCCTGGGCGCCCATCCTCGCCTCCGGCCCCGCCCCCGGTCCTCCCCTCCTTCCTCTGAGTGTGGGGATGGGAAGGCAGACCCTCGTGTTTCTCTGGGGGAATATGCAGAGTCAACGGCGGGCCTGTGCTCCATGCTGCCCGGCTAGCTGCTGGAAGAGCCCCGTGGGAAAGCACGCTGTATCCAGAGGTGCCGATCATCACCCGTGGAGTTTGTTGATGAGGAAGCCTTCAGAAACTATCACGCGAGCTCCTCCCCCGTCTCTTAATCTTAGGGGTCAGATTCCCACAGCTGGGGAGACAGGAGGCCTAGGGGCCAGGGCTGCAGCCGCAGGATGAAATCGGGCAAGCGAGTCTTGCGTGCCACCTCCAGCGCCCATCTGCTCGGTGGTGTGGGCTGGGGAGCCCACGAGGCACCCCAGGGCCTGCACACACAGCTCACGTTCACGCGTGGAGATCAGGGACAAGACTCCCCAAGCAAAGACTGTGGAAGCTACCAGAACGCGGGGCCCCTGGAGGAGGGAGGGAGGTCAGGGCTCAAGGCTTGGTGCAGTGGCTCCTGGCTGTGGGGGAGGTGTGTGTGTGCGCGTGCAGTTTTGCATGCAGTTTTGCCCGCTGGGTTGCAGTGCATTAGGGATTTGTCAGTTAACGCTCTGGACCCCATCCGAGCCTCTGTCCTCACTGGAAAGAGAACGGCAGCCCTGGGCGGCGGGAGGGGTGGATAAGACGGTGTCCGTGGAGGTGCTGCTCAGGGTATGGGCACACGGCCCTGGACGTGACTCAGGGTCTCGGTGAAGCAGGCGCCAGGCTGATTTCACGGGGTGGCCTCCCCTGACCTCTCGGCCTCGGAACCACCACTTCCCACCAAGCCCAGCCGCGGGCACAGCTCAGGGCCAGCTCTCACAGGGACACTCACTTGGCAACGTGGTTCCAGAGCAGTCCTTCTCTAGAATCTTCTCTGCCACTTCCGCGGAGTGCCCCTGTCTGAGCGTCCTAGGCGGCCGGAGTGGGCTGCACAGCCCTGTGGGCAGACGCCCTGGGGAAGGGCTCCCAGTGTGCCAGCATCCACACACCAGCGCCCTCTCCCCATTCCGAGGGGAGTCTGTCCCCCCTCCTCAGAGTCCCTTGTGAATCTGTGAATAACGGGAAAACATGCACATTTTTTCAGGCTGTCCTGGTGCCAAAAAGCACGAGTTTCTGACGAGCATCCTGGACGCGCTGTCCACAGACATGGTCCACGCAGTCTCAGACCCATCCACCTCCTCTGGCCGGTAAGCCAACGCGTGCCGCGGAGCCATGAGTGGCGAGGAGCCCGGCAGCTGCGGGCACTGGAAAGCTGGGAGGCCGTGGGCTGTGCGAGGCAGGCGGCTCGCACAGTGCGGGGTGCAGGAGGGACCGGAGGAAAGGCGCAGGCCCCAGCCGGAGCCACCCCGCTCTGTGCGCCCTGTGAGGGAACCGAGGCACGGAGCCTGAGGACCACGGGAAGATCGAGTGGAAGTGCTCAGGCCAAAATTCTCAGGAGGCTTCTGTTTATCGAAGTGCACGGCCTTGCCTGTCTTCAGGCACGTGGGTCAGAGGCATTCGTGACAGTAACATCGCTTTCCATGTGAGCGTGGCTTTCCTGAGTGCACAGGAGATGGAGCCCAGGTGTCCTGTGGGTTTGGCACCCAGTGGGCACTCAGAGTCCTCTGTCTCCAGCAAAACCAGGAAATGAGGCTTCCCACAGGACACCAGGGAGCGGGGCTCCCCCAGGGGACACCAGGGGACGGGGCTCCCCCAGGGGACACCAGGGGACGGGGCTCCCCCAGGGGACACCAGGGGACGGGGCTCCCCCAGAGGACACCAGGGGACGGGGCTCCCCCAGGGGACACCAGGGGATGGGGCTCCCCCAGAGGACACCAGGGGACGGGGCTCCCCCCAGGGGACACCAGGGGATGGGGTTCCCCAGGACACCAGGGGACGGGGCTCCCCAGGGGACACCAGGGGATGGGGCTCCCCCAGGGGACACCAGGGGACAGGGCTCCCCCAGGACACCAGGGGACAGGGCTCCCTCAGGGGACGGGGCTCCCCCAGGGGACACCAGGGGACAGGGCTCCCCCAGGGGACACCAGGGGATGGGGCTCCCCAGGGGACCAGGGGACGGGGCTCCCCCAGGACACCAGGGGACGGGGCTCCCCAGGACACCAGGGGACGGGGTTCCCCAGGGGACACCAGAGGACGGGGCTACCCCAGGGAACACCAGGGGACGGGGCTCCCCCAGGGGACACCAGGGGACGGGGCTCCCCCAGGGGACACCAGGGGATGGGGCTCCCCCCAGGGGACACCAGGGGACGGGGCTCCCCCAGGGAACACCAGGGGACGGGGCTCCCCCAGGGGACACCAGGGGACGGGGCTCCCCCAGGACACCAGGGGACGGGGTTCCCCAGGACACCAGGGGATGGGGCTCTCCCAGGGGACACCAGAGGACGGGGCTTTCCCAGGACACCAGGGGACGGGGCTCCCCCAGGACACCAGGGGACGGGGCTCCCCCAGGACACCAGGGGATGGGGCTCCCCCAGGACACCAGGGGACGGGGCTCCCCCAGGGAACACCAGGGGGCGGGGCT